TGCTCTTAGAGCAGAACTTTAGCAGCCAAATGGCCTGCCTGCTCCTGAGTCAGCTCAACAATACCTGGACTACGCCCTCTTTGGTACGTGGCACCTTGTTCCCAGCCCTATGTGAGCTCAGTGTGCTCCTCAGAACCCATGAATTCCCTGTAGACTCTGACTACCTTCACTTAGTTCCACTACAGTCTCTCTCCTTCCATCATAACAGGAGTGCAAGCCTGCCAGAAGATGGGATTCATGTCTTTGTTAGAATTTTCTTGATCCCTCTCCCACCTTCCTTCCATTACTGATCTCCTGCAAGTGCCAGGCTCTGCTGAGGAGCCTGTGAAGCTAGCCTTGCCCACCAAGGCTCGTAAGACATGTTTTTACAGTTTTCATAAAATGCACCAGGCCATGTTCTGAAAGATAAATGATGAACTAGGAGAATTGCACATGGTCTCACTTGGAGGAATTTCAACCAAAGATGAAATTCTGTGGTTCAGAACCATACCGGCAAAGTAGCAGACTCATTCCAGTGCATCTGAAAGAAATGAGCTAATAACTAGTAGTGTTTCTCTAGAGACTTCACCCTGGTTCCAGGAAGTAAATATTTTGAAATTGAATTTGTAACAATGGTTTCCATTTTCAAATATAGCATCATAACTCCTTTGGGTTTTAAAAAAATATTTTTGCAAACATTCAAATCACCTCTGCAATCTAAATTATAGAGAGATTTTCTACACCCAAATTACACAAGGTGACACCTCTACTAGTCTGAAAAACTCTTTAAGATCAAGAAGGAAGTTTATGTGGAAAGCAAATAGATGTTTTCCATTTGTGCTGAGGTCGGGATAAGAGAAGAACTTCATATGAGAACATGGAACTCATTACCAGCATAGATACTCCACCTCTGATTTTATTTAAAGAAATGGATAGAGCACTGTCCTCCTGGGGTTGCCTGGGGGTAGGGCAGTGCTTGCCAGACTCCCGGTGCTCCAACAGCCCAGCCTGGGCTTGCCTGATCTCCTGTCACTAGCTCCACCCTCCTAAATTAATAGATCATGTTTTTACTACAGGTTTCTCATTCATCATCTCACTTTGGCCTCATAAAAATCTTCCTTCTACTGTTCAGTAAACTGGCTTCCAGTGAGGTTAGTGGATCCTTTATATACAGCTTATTGGTGTCAAAGAATGCACTAAAATCCAGGTATCCCATATCTCATACTAAGTGGTATATAAATCTATAAAATGCCACAGGTATAAAAAAGATATTTGCTGAAAAAAGGAAGGATATTTTGAGAATTTAAGAAAAACTCTTTTGGAATTTGAAGTTTTCTTAGGATGTTCAAGTGTATTATTCTGATTATTTTCCTTTCAACCTCATTCAATTAACTGAGTATCTAGTGTAAATTTACCATATTACACACTGGAATACAATGGAAAGCAGGTCCCTCCCAAGGCTCACTATCCTTTATTTCTTAACGTTTTCTCTTGCTGTGATATTCCCCCCTACACACACACACACACACACATACACACACACATGCTGTCCACCCCTTAAACTCTGCTCTCAGCACACACACACACACACACACACACACACACACACAGTCCACCCCTTAAACTCTGCTCTCAGCCCCCACCAGCTACAAATTCTAGGTAGATCCTTGGTAAGTGTTGACACAATTTAAAAAGGGAGAAGAGCCTTTCCTGCAGGGGGTTTCACATCCTCTGAGCCTCTGGAAGTCTATCTTCTTTGGAGTTGCTTATGAAACCCAAGCAACTGGAAAGCACTCATGAATGTATTCTCCTGAGATCGCTACAGATTTATAAAAATAATCTGGTGCTCTGGAGAACTCTTGCATATTAAAACCAAAGGCCTCATTATGTTAATGTTCCTTAAATTTCAGGTCCCCATTTGTCAAATAGGGACATGATGTACAGAAAAGCATTAGAAAGGTATGCAGGACCATGTAAATAAAGGTACCAATGTAATGATCAATAAAGCTGATAAAATATGATAGTATAAAGAGTGCCAGGTACTAAAGTAAAATATTTGATATGAAGTAATGAAACCTCAGCTGAACAAATCCTAAAGAATGTATGCAGAATACCTAAAGGAAGAAATGTCACAAAAGTGGTAGCTTGTGTTTAACTTTACCCCTTTTATAAGAAACTAATTCTCTGAAATGTAAACTTTCATATGAAGAAATAAATGAAATATAAGACTTTAAAAATTATCTGACTATCAAATTGGAAAAATTAAGATATTAATTCCACTGGTAGGCAGGAGAGACCAGTGCTCTGGAAAATACCTCAGATACTGCCGGTGGAGATGTAAATTAGTGCCGCATTTTGGGGACAATTAATGATTTTCAAGAGTCTTGAAATTTGCATGCACATCCATTCCACTTCTAAGAATTTATACTTGGGAAATACGGATGTAAATAAAAAGGTAGCTATGAGATGCTCATCATGGTGTTACTTAAAATAGTGCTTAAAGTACAGAAGTTAATAATATGGTACCTGGTATCACTGAGCTGCTAGACTCAAACCCTGATTTTATTATTTCTTACTGAGATTCTAGACATATTACTTTTAATTTCTGTATTTGTAAAATAAAGCTGATAATAATAGAACCTGTTTCAAGAGGTGGCTATGACTATTTTAACAAAATACATCTAAGGCACTTAGGGCATACTAAAAAGTGCTCATGGTGTTAGATTATGTTCATTATAATGAACAATTAAAAACAATCTATATATCTAATAAATTGTTTCATCCTAGCAATGTAGTGCTATGTATCAATTAAAATGATACTGTAGGTGAATATTTGACTTAGAAAGATAATTATGTTAAAGGGGAAAAGAAGGTTATAAAATAGTATTAACTATGTGACTGAATCCAAGCAGATGTTTATAAAGACATGATCTAGTGTACCTGAACGTGTTTTGAATTCAAATGCATTTATGTCTCTAAAAATTTAGTTATATTTCACAAGGGCAAAAATCAAATAGTGCTAATTTCAGTTCCTTTACTTCCTGAGGTGGGGGTCAATAAGAATTTTTCCTGGGCTAATACACTTTTGCTACTTAGTGTGCTGCAATCCAAACAACTTCTAATAATAAAGTAGAAGCATTTCTTAGCGGTGAAGTCGTCCATGTCATAACAAAGTCCTGAGATACTATCTAGTGTCATAATGCTACTAAAGTAATTATATACATAATTTACCAAGTCAAGAAATACTATAGCTACCAGCATTCAAGTTCCTATAACAATTTTTAAAAGCATGAACTATGATTCTAATAATGTTTATTATGGGATACTTATAACAGATATAATTTACAATAATCTGGGATTTTAAGAATGACATTTGCATAATATAAAAGTACTACTGAATATTAATGCTACCATGTCCAACTAACAAGATTCACTTAAGGGTACTGATTAAGTGTGACTCTAGTTTCAATGTTGGAATTGGTGATTCAACTGATTTACATAGCAAAAAGTTATCCTTACTCTCTCAAAGATTATGAATCTCTGAATCCCTAAGAGATAACTATTTGTTACCCAGGTCTTTGCTAATCCAATGATAAAAAGTCTTCCTCCAAATCTCACAAAAGTTGTTTGATCACCCCCAATTTCAAGCAAGTAAGTACTGTGCCTACATATGTACTCTATTACTAATATGGAAATACTTCAATTCTTTGTTAATGTTTCATATCTATCTCATTGCATTATTAATATTAACTTTATATGCAGGATATATAAATCTCATTCACTTTGACAGCTTTGGACCTCTGTTATGGAAGTTTTACTTCAACTTTGGGCTTCATCTTCAGAACTAAAAAGTGTAGTGATGTGGTTTGTAAAAACTCTCTGAACAGTTAGAGGGTGGTGAGCACAGGAAAATAACAAAAGAGGAGAACTAACACAATCAAGCACCTTCCAAGCTAAATGATGCCAATTATATCCAGCTGGGAAATGCTATAAGCTGCTAACAGTGCAGAGCTTGGCTAGACTACAAGAGCTTTCCTCGACATCTGGTAGAGGTAAAGCTGACCTCACCACTCCGTGCCTGGGACAGGTAGACAAAAACCCAAGGAGATTAGCATCAATCTCACAAGATCAGACAGAGTGACTATTGGCTACATTCTTTGTTTTTGGGGAAAAAAAAAATTCTAACTGGAGTAGCAGGTTTAAAAAAAACAAAACAAAACAAAAGCTTTTTTCATCCTTTCTCCCATAGTGAAACTTAGGCTTATTGCCTCTGGTTTGAGGGAGATAGTGAGTTACTTACACCCACGTGATTGCTTTCTGGTTGCATTTATGATTACTAGAATAGAATTACAAATACTCCACTATTACTTCCAGTCCTCAGCCAGATGTGAATCTGCTAAGTTAAACAAAGACTTAAGATTCTGAAGATATTTTTTTCCATTACCTTTTTTTTTCTTACTTGTATATGAAAAACAAAAAGTGAGTACTGATTAAGTTCTTTAAATTAAAAAATTAGTGAGCGTGATACCACTTACTTTTGTAATTCCAAGACAAGCGTCCACTGTTACAAAGGATAAAGTCCTGGGGTTTAGATTTCAGCTCTCAGAATCACAATCCCTAAAGAGTGTTCACTAGGAAGAAAAAGTAAAGAGTCTGCTCTAGAAACATTGCTCATAAACTCCAAATACTTTTAGTTCTCCTTTTTCACCCCTGAAGAAATATATTCTCATGGCCCATATTTCATTTCTGACTTGGGATACCCAAAAAGGTCGTTTTGAAAAGTGCTCTGTCTTTTCTTTCACATTAATTTTATTAGCTAGTTTAAAAGGGATAATTTGCCAAATTAGATGTTTTCATGTGTTCTTTTGTTGAGTAAGTGCAATCATCTACAAATAAGTTTCCTATTAAAATGTACTCAAAACACAGCTCAAAACAAAATGACTTTCTAAAATTAAGAGTTGTTATGTTTGAGACTAACGTTGACTTAATGCTGAAAACACACACAGAAAAGGACAAATTGGTTGAAACTTTCACAAGAATGGAAAATGTTTAATAAACTTAGAGTGGTGGGCTTATTAAACTATAGTGTTATTTACAGCCATAATTCATCAACCACAAACACAATAATGTGTTTGCATGGCATGCTACAACAGAAGCTTTATTCAATTCATTCAGAAAACATTGGCAAAATAAATTTCAGTTGCAAATTCACAGATACAAGCTTCAAAGTATAAAGTTGTATATAACAAAAAATACAGGTAATATTTATAACAATAACTTACAGATACAAACTAATGATAAACTACAATTTCACAAAGGATTGTAAACATTTTGCACACTTGTCAGTCCTTTCTTTTAGGCAAAGTGCTCTTTTGATGACAAATAAATTAACAGATACACACTAGAGTGAACTATTTCCAGACAATACAAAAAAAGTTTTGATCTGTTTTCTTCTTGTAAACATAAATTTTACAAAAAATGAAGAATCAATAAAAGTGTCTTGCAGGCCAACTATAGATACATACCTGGTTAAGCAAAGTGATGTTGAAAATGCTTTGAGTGTTAAATAAAAAATTAACATTAATATCTTTTCAATGGTATTTTATACATAATAAATGACAAGATTATATCCTTAATCATTTCTATCCCTGAAAAAAGGAATTAGGTATGACTTATTGGCAGTTGTGTCATTGAATGGGGTAACAAGGGCTGGAGTCCAAGAGTTGTTGGTGAATGAGCTATAAAATAGAAAGAAATTTGTGGATCAGTTTTGTAGGCTGAATAAAACTGATTTAAAAACAAACAAAAACAATCCAAGGCAATGCGTTTTCATTACTCATTATAGCTGAGGGCACCAAGCTACACTCATTCCACTAACCTCAGCAGAAGCATTAACTTATTCAGCATAGTGAGTACAGTATTAAATGAGAATCCAGGAATAGTTTACCCCCAAAACCTTTTTTGGGGCCACAAGCTTTTGACACTTTAATGTCCTCCATCCATACCCCATTCACTGCACTTTACCCTACAGCTAGAACACACAAAAGCTTTGTCTGCAGAGATGCTGCTAGCTTCCATATAAAGCTGTCTATAGGATGACCCCCCCCCAAATTCTCCTTTATGAATGCTTAACCACCTCTTCCCTAAACATGCATCAAAGCACGTTTGACTCAGGCAACACTGTAGTCATTCATGTGAACGTACACAGTTTTAATGCTAGTATAATCGCAACAATGGTACAGGGCTCTGGTTTTTTATTTAACCAAAACTTTAAATGAAGTTTCCATTCTCAGCAAGGTCTGTGATGCTTCAAACCAAACCTCCCTCTGAGCGCAACTAGGAAAGCTGGCCCAAATTTTTGAAAATCTCTTGGAAGGCATCTGAAAGATACCAAGATAATGAGAAGCTGCAAAGCAAGTCCCAGAAGAGAAGGGAAATAAAATGAGGCTACTTTCCACCACCTACCCCCCAAAATTAGTGACAATTTTAAAAGAAAAGGGATGCGTGAGAGGCTGAGAATTTGAGCAGACTTGTAGGAGTCAGACTTTGTCTGGGAGATGCAGAACAAACACGAAAGATCAGGGACCACCGAAGAGAAGGTCTGGTTTAAAACAACAGAAACAAACACAACAAAACAGAAGCGTTGTCTGGAATCCCAAAAGGCTAAGTCCAAGTAGTGACCCAGAAATACACCAGCCTTCCTGAGGACTGATGCTGATTGGATTAAGTTGATCTTACCCCAGCCTAACTTCCTGCCAGAGGCAAAACCAAATCCTCTCTGGTGGAGACCATTCAGAGCTTCAAATTATTTCGAGTTTTTCATACCCAACCCAACATCAGAGGTGCAATAAAAAATAAAAAGGGAAATAAGAAGACATGACTGAAAACAAAGAGATCCAAATATTGGAGTTATTAGACATAAACTTTAGTATTACAATAACAATTTTATTAAGAAATAAAGTGGCAAAAATAGAAGATTTCAGCATAAAAGTGAAAACTATATAAAAGAATGAAATGGAAATTCTAAAACTGAAGATACAATAACTGAAATTAAGAACTCAGTGGGTAAGTTTTACAACCATATTAGGTACTTAGTGACCTGGAGATAGGTCAGAAGAAAATACCTGGACTAAAGCATGGAAGGTCAAAAGGCCGGGAAATATGGAATTTTTTCATAAGGGGCAGAAACAATATTTGAAGAGACAAAAACTGAGACTTTTCCATAATGAAATACATCAAACTACATACTCAAGAAGCGTATCATTATAATAAAACTGAAAACCAAACACAAAGAGAAAAGCTGGGATAAAACAACATTTACTTTCAATAGAGCAAGAATAAGACCAATAGCTGATTTCAACAATAAGTAGCATCAGATTAACTATCCATATCCTAAACAATAGAAACAGTGAAAGCCAGAAGCCAGTGTTACCTTACCTTCAAAGTGCCGGAAAAAAAATAGCTGCCAACCTAAAGTTCCACATACACAGGAAATACCATTAACAACTGCATTAAAACAAACACTTATGAATGAACCTTAGATGTGCAAGATTACTGAGCCAAAAACTCTAGAATATAAAAAAGTACTTAAAGATGCTCTAAATAAATAGAAAGACAAAGTTCATAGGATGGAAGGTGATATTATTAAGATGGCAGTTTCTTACAAAGTGATCTAACAGACTATATCAAAATTTCAATTTATTTTTTGGTGGAAATTGACAAGCTGGTAAAATTTATGGAAATGCAAGGGTCAAGAATAGGCAATACAAACTTAAATAAAAACAAAGTAGGAAGACTTTTTCTACTGGATATCAAGAATTGTAGAACTTGAATAATTAAAACAATTAGGTATAAATATGAAAATAAGTAGTCCAATAAAATAGAGTGTACAGAAATTAACACCTACATTACATAAACAGTTGATTTATGAGAAATGTGTCACTACCAAACAGCTGGGAAATTGGTATTTTTATCAATATAACAAAAGAGTTTTGCTTCCTATCTCATACTACATACAAAATCCAATTCCAGACGGACTGTAAATCTAAATGTCAAAGGTCAGATAAGTTTCAAGAAGATAACATAAGAGGAATATGTTCACTATTTTTGAGGAGAAATAATTTCTTGAATAGGTCACAAAGAAAGCACTGTCCATGAAGGAAAAAAACTGATGAAATGAACTACATTAAAATTAGGAACTTGTGCTCAACAAAACATACCCTTAAGAGAGTAGAAAAAGGCAAGCCAATGAATAGGAGGAGATATCATCAAAAAACTTTTTATATGCAAAATACAGTAAGAATTAAGATAAATCAAGGAAAAAACAAAATGGACAAGCCAATAGACCAACAGACAAAAGACATGAATAGGCTCTTCACAAAAAAAAGGATATACAAATGCCCGGGGAAAACATGCTCAATCTCATCAGTCATGAGGGAAAAGCAAATTAAAATAATGAGCACTACCCAACCATCAAACTGGTTAAAAGAAATCACACCATACCAAGTGTTGGCAAGGATGTGGAGCACCTTGAACTCTCACATAGTGCTGGGCCAAGTGTTAACTGGTTCAACCACTATGGGAAACTGACAGAATCAGCTGAAGTTGAGTGTATGGGTAGCCTATGACCCTAAGTTCCACTCCCAGGTACATACCAAACAGAAGTATGAATTAATGTACATCAAAAGGCATGTAAAATAAAGTCCATAGCAGCATATTCATAAAAGCCTAAACATGCTCAAACACAAATGTTTATCAACCATAAAATGGTTAAATTGTGGTATATTCCCACAGTGGAATTCCATATAACAATAAAACAAATCACTGATTCTTGCAATAAATACAAGTGAATCTCACAAACAATGTACTTGAAAGAAGTGAGATACACAAGAATACATTCCATACGGTTCAGTTTATATAAAGCTCAAAAACAGGCAAAACAAAAACATGATTTTAGAAGTCAAGGCAACGTTACTCTGGAGGAAGAGGATAATAATTGGAAGGGGACATAAGAGGTTTCTGGGGTGTTAATTATGTTCTACTTCATCTGGTATTTACATGGATATTCTCACTTTAATAATTCATCAAGCTGGATACTTGTTATGTGTGCACTTTTCTATATGCATGTTTTGCTTCAATAAAGTTTAACAAAACTCAGTATACTAACTCCGATCTAAAATTCTGAGTGTGCCATTTGCAACGAGGTGGATGGAACTAGAGGGTATTATGCTAAGCGAAATAAGTCAATCAGAGAAAGACAATTATCATATGATCTCACTCATGTGGAATTTAAGAAACAAAACAGGATCACAGGGGAAGAGAGGAAAAAATAAAAGAAGACGAAATCAGAGAGGGAGACAAACCATAAGAGATTCTTAATTGTAGGAAACAAACTGAGGGTTGCTAGAGGGGAGGTGGGTGGAGGGATGGGGTAACTGGGTGATGGACATTAAGGAGGACACATGATGTAATGGGTATTATATGCAACTGATGAATCACTGAACTCTACCTCTGAAACTAATAATACACTGTATGTTAATTAATTGATTTTAAATAAATAAAACTCTGAGTGTGAATACTTTCTCTGACCATAGGAAAATAAATTATTTAAATATCAGGTGAAAACAAAACAAAACAACAAAAAACGTTTTTTTCCTAAGTAAAAAATCAAGCACTAACAGTCATTATCAATATTTGTATTTTAGCTGTGAAGTGGGTGTTAAACTTGTCCCTTAAAATGTAGTCACAGAAATAAGAATGTTTGGACATTTCTGCTCCCTACTGCAACCCCCCACACATAATTTTTCAGCTACGACTGAGGTAATATTTCAAAATATGAATCCTATCAATCAGCTAATATTAGCAGTTATCAGTTATTGTGCTTGGTCAACAGCTGTTAAAGGTTGGGATACCTACCATCCATGTAACTATGCAGCGCAGTTAGCATCGTCCCATCTTGGGGCACATAGGCAGAATAAGCCATTTCTTCTAACATGGGTGGAGACAGCCTGGAGGGCGGGACTGCTGTGACTGGGGCAGAGGAGGAGTGATTAGGACTGACGTGTTTCTTATGGCGTGCTCGACAATTCTGAAACCACACCTGAGGGAGGAGAAAAGCAATGTAGGTATGTCACATGTCAACTCTGAGTACCTTATCAACTCAGTTTACAAAGAAATGAATCCTCAATTTCTTTATGATATGAGCACGGTATAAATCTAAACAAGCTTTTTAAACAGTTCTGTAGACAGAAGAGAAACATTTGTATAAATAACAATGGTCATTTTCTTTGTTCATATCGTAACTATCTGGTGATTTACTTAAAAGCCAATTCTATACTATCCTAGCATCTTCCAAAATAAAAGGGAGGGAAGAAGTTCAAGAATTTCAGAAAAGTTTCCTTGGCTTTAACTACCGGCATTTGGGACAAAAAGAAAAACAGAAAAAAAGCCCTTTAAATCAGAACTTAACAACAACGACAATAAAAAAACCCAACTAAATGTATTCTTAGACACCTGCTGGACTTATTTCAAATCCTTTTCCAAATGACTAAATCCCTACTGAGAACTTAAAGCTTTCTACAAACCTCTTGATTCAGTTATTCCAATCACATTTTAACCTGCCGAGTTCAATTTCTCTTAGTGAATACATAGACTATTCCCTAAGAAGCATGTTAAGGTCAGGCTTATAATAAGAAAAAATGAGTAATACTTAAGAAGAATAAAATATAAACACATCCACTGGTGAAACAGTTCACAAAATGTAAAGAGATAACCACCCTGTTGTCTACTCTATCACAGAAATAAAGGAAACAAATTCAAGGCAAGCATAGTTTTGCATCCAGGTCAGGATGAGTGAGGCTAGGCTGCCCAGAATGCTCCCAGTAATTAATCTGCCTGTGTTTTAACTCTCTGCTGTTAGATAAAACTTGACTATAGAGTGTTGCTCTATTAAAATATCATAGCACTTATTTGCCATCACTCCAAATAAGTCTGTCATGAGGAGAAAGAGAAGTGAAGGAATAAAAAGTTTAAGGAAATAAAGATAACATTTTAGTGTCAGGGGAGAAGGCCAGGGAGAGATCAGGGGCATAAGCCCCTGCCCAAGGCTGGTAGGAAGTTATTTGATGGCACAAGAGAATCCGGGCTGAATAATGTAGAACAGAAGGAATCTGCAAAAAGATTTATACAAAAAAGCTGACCTGACTTCAAAGACACATCCTGCCCTTGGGACTCAAAATTAGAGAGCTGGCGAAGTACAAACTCTAGGGGTTTCAGGAACAAGACATAGGCCTATACCAAGGAAAAGGAGTGGGGAGTCATAGCCTTCTCCTCCATTTCAGGAGTATTAGGCTCTTAGACACTTACACAGGGACTGAACCCAAAGTCTTCAGTCACAGTTCTCTCCACAGGCTCCTTAATAATAGGTGTCACTACTGTCACTCACCCACTCAAGAAGACATCCTCACATGTTCTTGAACTTGTAAAAGAGAACTACAGCCACCAGCGCTTTCCCTAACAGTACCCAGAAGACATGCATCCCAGTGGGCTACGTATAACCTAACTGACATGGCACTATGGTTCCCAAAGTTTCTCCAAAGTATCTTACATCTCCAATAAATTATATACTGGATGGAACCTACTCAGTTGTTTTTTTTAAAAAAAAAAAAAATCCAGACTTTGGAAATATTATGAAAAAGGCATGACATATCAGCAGAAAAACTACCTTAATGCTGATTCAAATAGCTCCTCGGAAAGATCATCAACAGGTAGTCAAGTAGAGAGAGGTTTATAAACACAAATGTCATGTAACTTGCACAGAAAAATATAGTTGACAATTCCAGACCATCAGAAAATAACTTCTGGCATGAGGGCCACCCAACTTCAGAATTCAAATACAAGTCATTTTGACCCTCCTCACTGACTTAAAATTTCTTGTTTTGCAAACCTCCAAGAAGAGTTAAAATTTTCTCTGAGCAACACACTTTAAAATTTTTTGAGTTCTAAACTGTAAACTATATAAGCTAAGATCAGGCTATGTAGACATTCTGAAAAAGAAAAGACTAATCCATAAGATGGATCTCTGAGAAAGCCCAAAGAGCCAAATATCAGATTTTTATGTATAAAAAAGATGGAATTTTAAATTATTGGGAAAGCATGGCATAATACTGATTTAGAGAAACTTGGCTAATCATTTGTGAGGAAAAAAATGGTAAAATCCCTATCTCACTAATAACCAAAAGTTAATTCCACAGCTAGCCCTCTGCCCACAAGTGTTCCTGCATATCCTCCCCAAAAGTTAATTCCAGATAAATTAAAAATTAGATGTAAATAATTGGAACCATAAACATTTAAGAGAAACAACAGTCAATACTGATAAACTCTCTAGCTGAAGAAGCATAAAAAGGGCCAAAGCTAGAAGAAGAAGATATTGAGAGATTGGAATACATAAAAATATAAAAGTTCTGGGGCACCTGGGTGCTTCAGTCACTTAAGCGTTTGAATCTTGGTTTCGGCTCAGGTCATGATCTCAGGGTCGTTAGATCAACCTCCACGTGGAACCCCACGCTCAGGGAGAAGTCTGCTTGAGATTCTTTCCCCTTCCCTCTCCCTTCCTTTCTGCCCCTCCCTCCAATCATGCTCAATCTCTCTTTAAAATAAAGTATTTAAAATATACATATATAAGTTCTATATGGAGAAAATAAATGAAAAGAAACTGATGAACTATGGAAGTTTAACATGATAAAAAGAATAAAAATCAGTAAGATGGAGAGAAAAGGCACCACCCAATAGAAAAGTGGACTAAAAACATACAATTTCTAAAATTACAAAATAAGCAAACATGTTAAAGGTCATTGATAATCAAAGAAATATAAATAAAAACGATTTTCTACCAAAATTGGAAGGGATGTAAAAGAATGACAGTATTCAGAATTTGCATGGGTTGGTAAAAGGGAACTTGCATATGTAGCTCCTGGCAGAATAAACCGGTATGAACTTTCTGGAAGGTGATTTTTGTACTATCAGTTAATCAGTTAAAGGCCCTAAAAATGTTTTATCTTTTGACTCAACAACCCCACTTCTAGAAATTTATCATATGGAAACTAAGGAACAAGTGAGCAAGGTGTACATACAGTGTTATTCATTACAGCACTTTTAGGATAATGAAAATTTGGAAATAAAGTAAATGTATATATAGACAAATAATATATATATTTGCACGCTAGTACTCCTTCCTTTGCTATCCTCTCAAAAATATTTAAATTCAATCTTCACATATTAAAAACCACCATCCAACAATATATTCTCCAAGTTCTAGTACTTATAATAGTCATGAATTGACTTAGCTGGAGCAGTCATTGTCATTGAACGTACAGACTCTTAGATTAGAAGGAACCCTCAACCCATTGAGTCTGTACCACCTCGACAAAGGAAGCTCCATTTCCAGGCTCCCGAAACTCACTACCTCCAATGGCAGCCCATGTCATTTTTGTAGACTTTCATGCTGAGAAAGTTCTTCATCATGAGTGAAATCTGCCTTTTCCTTCATTCCCAAAGACCTGATTCTGCTATCTGCAGGACAGCCTTCCATATATATTTAAAGATACTTACTCTGTTTATACTATTCCTTCTCTTACTATCTCATCTCCAGACAAATATTCCTATTGCTGTTAATATTAGCCCATGATTTCTAGTTCTTTCATGACCTTATTAGCCTGACTCTAAAGGAAGCAGTCTGTTCAGATTGGTTTCTTGTTAGACCCCTTTTTAAAATTTGGCACTCCAGGGGTGCCTGGGTGGCTCAGTCGTTAAGCGTCTGCCTTCGGCTCGGGTCGTGATCCCAGAGTCCTGGGATCGAGCTCCACATCAGGCTCCCTGCTCGGTGGGAAGCCTGCTTCTCCCTCTCCCACTCCCCCTGCTTGTGTTCCCTCTCTCACTGTGTCTCTGTCAAATAAATAAAATCTTTAAAAAAATAAATAAATAAAATTTGACACTCTGAAATAAACACAATACCCTGGACATTTGAAAAGCACTGAGGTCGTATGACTCAACTCCTCAGAGAACCTCATTAAACTGCAGTCAGACAAATCTACTGGGAATCTAAGTCTTTAGAGAAGCTGCAGTACCATCAGGTTTTTCCCCATCAGCTTCTTTGTATAGATGATTTAATTATGAAATGCCTCAGGCTTAATAATAATAAATTGAAGAATGAGCACCCTATTTAAGAAGTATCAGCCACCCAATTTAAGAAATAAAACATATAGGGGCGCCTGGGTGGCTCAGTCGTTAAGCGTCTGCCTTCGGCTCAGGTCATGGTCCCAGGGTTCTGGGATCGAGCCCCGCATCGGGCTCCCTGCTCCACGGGAAGCCTGCTTCTCCCTCTCCCACTCCCCCTGCTTGTGTTCCCTCTCTCGCTGTGTCTCTCTGTCAAATAAATAAATAAAATCTTTAAAAAAAAAAAAAAAAAAAGAAAGAAAACATATATACAAAGTTGGATTTTACCTCCTCCCCCCCCAACCCCCAACTAAATTTCATCTTGCTGGTTATGGTTACTTGCATTAATTCCGTAAACTTTTTTGAACCTTGAATGTTATTTAAAATTATTTTCTATTTCCCTGATTTCTCTATAAGATCTTGACACAGTTGGCCAGCTCCACCTGTACACATTCCTTTGGGTTCCATGATGCTTTTCTACCAGACTCATTCCTTGATCCTGACTGTTACTATGTCCCTTTCAAATAGCACCACTTACCCTCCCCTCTCCCTAAAGTTCATTCTTCTCTTTTTACTGTTTATGATCTCGTTCTAAAGGATCTTACCCAATTTCATGGCATTGGATCTTTTTGTTTGAGTCCTGTTCATCTTTTAAAATACCTGTTTATATGCCCAACTGCCACCATCACTGTATGATTGGCAGAGCTAAAAGGAAATTCATCTCCTTCCCAATTACAAATCATCTTTCTTTGACTTGAATATTCCTGTCAATAGCACTATTCCTATGGATACTCTGATTTCAAATTTAAGAGTCATCCTTCACTTCTCTCTCCTTCCCCATTATAGTGTCCAGGTCCTTTTCTTGCCTCTTTGCCACCAGCACACACACAATAAAATGTTTCTCAATGAATTTGAGGTCACTACCCCATTTAAGTCTCTTAAAAAAATCACTACTTTGCTGGGCATCCCAACTAATCTGTATATCTCTAATTTAGTTCTTCCAACCCTAATTCTTGCCATTTGCTCACCAGCTACCATGGCTTTCTCCTGCTCAGGACAGAATTCTATAATCACGCCCCTATAAGTTCAGCTCCAACAATTTCATCTCTCACAATTTGCAGATATAAAATTAACATTTCAATGAATTTGCTCTAATTCATCCTTCCCTAGCTTTGTTCACACCACTCCCTCTACCTGGATCTTTAACAAAGGTCATCAAGTCCCCCTTCACTCACACTCACACACACACACACACACACACACACACAATCACAGAAAAGTGGAAAAAAATTACTGGCTTTGGAACCAGATCTAGCTTGGAACCACAGTTCTCTTTTTTAGGTTGAGGATCTTATTCGGGTTGCTGCGAACACTGAATGAAGTAACTTGTACACAGAGTTGTTTAACAATTGATAGCCCAGCCCAAGCAGACTAATTATCAGGTTTAAAAAAAACTGATACAGAGTGTAAACCTAAAATGGGAAGCTAATGCTTTGATATTTCTCACACACACACACAGCACATTCATAAAGACCTAGAGTAGACCTTTTAGTATCTCTTGATTAACCTTTAAAATAATCACCTGTATCACACGTCTGCTCAAGCCTGTCCTTTCTGCCAGTTTCTGGAGGGTCTGTGCATCTGGGTTGTTGTCCTGAGCAAACTGTGCTTGCATAACCTGTTTTTTTTTAAAAAAATAAAAAATAAAGGTAGTAAATAGCTAAATATAAGAAACTCAATCTTCTGCATTTTGATGACAGGAGAGATAAGACATGCACAAGAAAATAAGATACTTGTATTTTATTACTAGAAAATCAATATGGGTGAATGCATATAAATGAAAAGAAAGCATATGCTGTAAATTTACAAACAAGTCGCTACACTGAGATCTTTCAAAAAAAAATTTATTTCAACATAAAACCTGTCTCTCAACTATGCTGCTAAAAATGAGCTCACCTTTGTTCTTCTTCCATTCTTCTACAAATGAAATGAATAAATGGTATGTCTATTTACTATTTCTTCCACTTTGTTAAAAATTTCTTGCATTAGAAAACTTTTAAAAATACAAAAATCCTATCAAATTTATCTCCAACCTCTACTAAGTTAAATAGGCTCATACTACAATTTTTATCCATCAGCAATTGTATACAGTGCAACAGATGGATTCCATACTCCAACATTAATTGTTTTGAGCACTTGCTCCATGCAAAACAGTATCAGGGATCTTAAAAAAAAAAAAAAAGATATCAATCAGCCCAGTGAATAGGAATTTCCTGGGATCTAAACATCTGTACATTGAAAAAGCTCTCAGGTGATTTGATATGAACCTTTGGATTAGAATCACTGTGCTAAGTGTCATGAGACAGTGACACATGAAAAAACTGTCCCTGGTCTCAACTTTTTGAGACAAAGATATGGACATGCCAATAACTACAATACAAGGTAAGGGGAGAAGCATAAAGCGGGAGGGAGTACCAGAATAAAGCATAAGCCAAGGGCTTTGTATTCTTTCTGAAGAGGAAATCATGGGAATCAAGAGGGATATTTGAATTTTATTACTTAAAAGTCAATCAACTGAGGGAAGTAGTATAAAATATAAAGGATTATGAAAAATGGGAGAGGGAGTCTGTCATCCAACATAATTGTACATGTCTATGGGTGTGGGATGGGGATAACCAATCTCCCTAAAGACCTTAGCCATCACGGGCCTCAACACCATTTTCCATAGGCAAAATTAATTGCATTCTCCACTGTGTTTCTCATCTAATACAGACTTCTGCCACTGCACACATCACAAGGCAGCTAAATAATTCACTGGCAAGTCTAGCTCTCCATAGCAAAGTAAGCTTCTTGAGGGCAAAGGGAATGTCTTATTCTTCATATCCCCAGGAACTAATACCCTTTCCCACCACATAATATGTGCTTAAGGGTTTGTAACACAATGAACCCTGACAACATGAGGAAAAGTTGAAGATAGTGTGGAGAAAAAGACCAATGTTGTTCCAGGAAACCTTACAAAGTTTACAAATTATATAATTTTTTCAGTTCTGATTAGTGACTTCTAGAATAAGGTATTCCTGGCTTCCTGTCCAACCATATTTGTTCACACACTCACTGTAAACAGCATGTATTTTACCTTTTAAAAATGGGCAAAACTGACCTAAAAGTTTATAATTTCACTCAGTTCACCTCATTCTTCCTTTCTTATTCCAAATGTGTTACTTCAATATTGTCATGTACAAATAGTTGTGTTCATATGTAGTTGAGCATGTATTATCCCAAAGAGAAAAAAGAATGAGCAAATTAATGGTCTTTGTTTTTTTAATTTTTCAAGAGGAAAAGCTAAACAGATATTTAAGAATTTGCTTGTTAGGCCATTATTGATAATTTATAAAACAAAAAAACAGCATGCTTTTTCACAAATGCATTTCAAATTCACAAGTTTAATAATGAAACCAAGTTATACTTAATAAAGCAATTTCTCATCAAAGAATAAAGCAAAGCTTAAATGAACACTGATGGTTTAGAATCAGTATATGCTAAAGGGAAAGTAAGATGTGCTAATCAATGTTTAATCTCTCACACACACACAAAAAGCCTTTTAATTTCTACTTAATTTCATTGTTCTTCAGTCACTAATGATGTTGAAACCCACCCCACTTCTTTTCTGAGGTCTTTTTAACATGGTCAAGGAGTGAGCCTTTGTAGACACTCATCATTTTAAGGCCAGGAAATCCCAGAAATGACAGGTATCTGCATAGTAGCAGCTGACCAAGTCAATCTGAAAGTGGATTAAAATAGGTGCTAACCTTGGCATGTTTTATATTCATAATCATTGAGCAAGAGCTTCCAACTACAATATGCAAACCACAACATTGGCAGGAACTTCTTAAATACCATTTCTACAAATGGGACCATATTTAAAATATTCTTGCCAACACAAAATGTTATTCTGTTGTGAACCTTAAACAACTTTTTCTTCCCGTAAATTTCTAAATAATTTTGGGAAATTATCTTGTTTATTCTTCCCATGTTAACTCTCCTCTGTCCAAAGCAGTAGTTCATGAACAGTCTTGACTTATTGATCACCTGTAACATTTTGTTATTCTGCTGAATTCAAGTACTATTTGAATATACCAGTTTCCTGAAAGGACAATTTGACAATGAGGGTACATTGTCTGATTTATTAGAGGTTCTAGCAAAATATAATGATTTAAGTTTTTAAAAAATTTACAGCTATGTTTTCCAGATTCCTCAGGTATAAAGAAACACTTGAGGGCAAAGATTGTGTCTCATTTGTTTCAGCCATCCCTGGCTTAAGACAGATACTAATAAATACTGAAAAAAATGAGTATATGCTTTGAAGGCATATCACTTCTATTTTCATTTTTTTCTATTTTCATTTTTTAAAACCTGTGGTTCCAATATAAATCTTTAAAAACTTATGCAAGATTTGGAATCTCACTCTTGTTTTAGCTGCTGCTGCCATTAAGTGGAGCTTTTATTTCACTCAGGATCTGGTGGCCAAGCAAAATGAAAACACCAGAGGATTGGGGAAGTTTCCAAATCTCTTCTCTGCTATTCCCTTGGTAGTCTGCCTTGAGGGGAGTTCCTGCACCTCTTGGATGAGGCTACCTACATCAAGGAATTATTGTTAAGAATTAAAGGAGAGAATGTAGATAAATGCCTAGCATAGCATAACTTTCACAAATATTATTCCCTCTTTATTTAATTAGTACCTGTAATTATTTTCCTATATGAAATTGTATATCTACCTGAAGTTGTTTCAAGTTTTCACTATTATAATTTTAATAACTTTAATTTCACATAAACTTTTACTGTCAGCCTTATAATTATTAAAACTATAGCCAGCCCTTCATGGAAACAGCCCATTTTAAAAACAATATATTTATATTAGAAATTCTATTTTAACTCAGACATCTTTTAGCTACTAGTATTTTGCTGCCAGGTCTCCCACAGCTATTCATATCTTCTAATTTAGGCTTTATGTGATCTAAGTTCCCTTGAAATATTTGTATCACATTAAGGTTTCTTTCTTAATCATTCTCCCAAATAAAAATTCTCTCTTAAAACCCTTTTACTGTATTTATCTTAAACACTGGCAAGTCTTTGATACCATATGTGATTTTCAGAATATTACTTTTACTCAATTGCTAACGTTGTATAATGTCCTTTAAAGTTTGAGCTAAGATACATCCTATGTGTAAAGCACCCAGTAGTACATGGTAGGCGCTCAATAAATGTTACTTTACCTTACCATAAAACAAATACCTCATCCACATTAATCTTTTAGAAAACGTGATTTCTTTATCTGAAAAAATGTCAAAAAGAATCATTATATGTGTAGACTTAAAGATAAAGCAATGAGTAATTAATTATTTTTTTGACAACTGACATGAGTTGAACTTATAACAATTATATTTAGGGCAACTAAACTGAAATAATACCTCCTCTTTCAGGGGACATAATCAACCTTCAGCATCAAACTATAGAATTAGCTCCCTCTATCCCTTTTAAAAACACGAAAAGGTTTACTTGGTTGTGGAGTCAATAACTAGATTCCTGTTGTTTATGGTAAGGCATATTCAATTCTTTCCTATACAGAAAATTATACAAACTTAGCCATTAAGAGGCTCATTATAATTTGTTAAAAAGGTGAACACATTAGTGTCCCATAGGCCCACATACTGTATGTCTCTTTCTGTTAATAGTCTTAAAATATTTTGTCTTCTATCCCCATTATAGGTAGTAATGTAAATAAATGCCTTGGTTAAACTGATTTTATCAGAAAGTCAGGACTGATCAATATTTTGTTTGCACTTTGACGTTAATACCAATAAATCCCAGGGAAATAAAGCTTGAATGACTAGTTCATACCAGGTCATGACTCTGGAAATACTGACAAACATTTTAGGGCTATAAGTATATTTTCATACAATCACCAAGTTAGTATTCATTAAACGCACAGGCTAACTTTTTTGAAAATATGAAAATGTTCTTAGGCAGCATGAAATTGTTTTGGGTGTTTGGGGGAGGGGGCAGGGGAGTTGGGGGATTTTTTTGTTTGTGTTGTTTGTTTTGGTCAGGAGGGACTTCAAAAATCATAAATTCATTGTCATGTCTACCTGGAGCTGATCTGCTGTAAAGCTGGTCCGAGCTCTTTTTGCTGGTTTTGGATGATTAACATCTTGCTCTGTGAGGAGGGCACCTTCAACACTAATCCCATTGCCTGAATTTAAAAAACAACAGCATACATGTTGGTAACTCAAATGGGTCCGCTGATCAAGTAATAATATGTTTCTTGTATCTCTTGGCTTCGTGTGAAATTGTAGATTGCCCAAATCTGTCAGTTAAGTTTTAAAACACACTAGAAATATTCTGTGGAAACAATATATAGGCTTGTATATTTACTCAAAAGTGCAAAAAGTTAGAAGAGCATACATCTAAGGTTCATCCTAAGAAGGCAAATACAGGAAAACAACTGGTTACAAAAAGCAAAACACAGCCTTAAATTCAAGGCTGCTGCCTGAGAATATGGTACAAGGCTAATACACATGCCATGGCTTTTCCTGCATATAAACACATGGAGATCATCACTAACAGTAGAATGCTTAATGAGTTTTACCACAACTACACTGCACAAAATAATGCATTAAAATGACCTAAGGAAAAATCATTTTTATTCCCTGTATTCACTGTCCCAAAAGACTCCAAAGTATTTTAAGTATATATTTACCATTTTCCACTTCTCTTTTTAAATTATCCAGCATACAGTCATAATGCACTCTGCAGAGGACTTTCTCTTCCACCAAAGCAAACTCCTCTCCCGTGGAAAGTTGCCTTTTGCAAGAAAAGCAGGCAAAGCATGCCAAGTGATAGACATTCCCCTTGGCCCTCCGGACCCAGTCAGTAGAATGGATATGCCTCCCACAACGAGAGCAGCGAGTTCCATACCTTCTATATAAACAGAAGAGCAGGAGGTGAAGATTTTAATATTTGGTGAGATACTCATCAGCCTGAGTAAACTAATACATTATATTACTCATTGCATTAACCTAAGTATTTACATCTTTTGAAAATGAAACAGGCATCAATTATTTTTCTGAAAGTCAATATGGTAAGCAATCAAGACTTAAGATAGGGCCATAGTTCAAATCAGTTTATAAAACAAAAACTTCTCATTGTTACTTTAAAGGAAGACTGGATTTTTTCTTTTAAAATAAATGCAATATGAGTTTCAATATCCCTTTTGTAACAAATATCAACACATTTATAAATTCCTAGAGATTCAAGATACAAACATACATATACTCCAGATTGAAACCTGAAAGTGCAAAAGCACAGTAAAAATATAATGACTTCTTAAAACCAAATTGAGATAATTAAAAAATGTTTTAAATATCATTTTTTAAGTTAAAATATTTAAACATTTAAAATTGATATTATCAAAGAATGGGTAGAACAGAAACTGTTCACCCTGAGAGTGAGGAATGAAAACTCAGATATGTTTCCATTGGTGAATAAGCTATTGCATTGCTAGTCACAGGAGGGGGAGATACATTATCTAAAACTTTCAGAGACCAACCTGGACATTAAATGCAGGTTAAATGTAACAAAATGCCAGATGTAAATTTTTTTTTTTCTCCTGCTCTGAGTAACTGGACATTCTTTGCTATGTGTCCTATCATAATCACAGTCATGGCCTTGCATATCTACATCAAACCAGATATGTGTCTGTTTCTATTCATTAGCATATCTTTAGAGGTATTGCCAGTTTTGTTTAAGTTAATCTGAAAAAGTGAATCCTAAAACTAAATTTCAGAATATAATATGAAGTATAAAAAAATCCTGAAGAACTAGACTTTCAATAACTTGCTGAAACTAAATCTTTCAAAAAGCTTTAAATTATCATAAAAAAATTAATATTTGCATATCTTAAATCAAAAAGGAGGCAAATTGCTATCATTTTTGAAGAAATGGAGAGTAAACCTGATGAGAAATATATGTTTTTGGTAATTACAAAATTCTGTGACTTTATAAAATAAAGGGTCTGGGTTTTATGAAATGCTTTTAATTAGCAATTTTATTCAAATCAATCACTAAACTCTCTGAAACCAGTTTTTGAAACTGAGTATAAACAACATAATTAGTATTATAAACTTCATTATATAGTAGTAATTTCCCAATTTCATGGTGAACATTTTTCTTCATTTGGAAATTCAAATAAAGAAAAAAATATGGTAATTTTAAAAGTCATGCTTAGGAATAATTTCAATTTCTAGACAGCTATCTATTAAGAATTATATCCTAGAAGAAACAGTGCATTTAAACAATTTATAAAGAGATCGCAGAAAAGATGTTACATTTAATATCTTGGGCCAATACAATCTCACAAAACAAAGATCAAAGAACAGACAAAAAAGAAACAGGCTTTTTGGATAGAATAATCAGACTTGGTGTATTTCTGATACTGGAATCCTCTAAATTATATCGTTTAACACATTCTCCAAACTGCTGACATTTTGTAGGTATAACTAGGGATCATTCTATAGTAAACTGGTAAACACTTAACAAAACCTTGATTTTTCCCACCATAATTATTTCATTTCATCTTAGCATCCCCTGCAAATAACGGACTTTGTCACAATAAGTCATCTTATATTTTATACTTGACCTATGCACAGCGAGAAGTTTCCCTGTTTTTAATATCTAAACCTTTCATTCCCAAAGAGGAAATAATTATTTTAAATTAGTTTTTGTATACTGAATTCCTAGAACACATAAACATGCTTATTGTATTTGTTTTGATATAAGTTATACCTCAAAAATGTGAAGCATTCTCATTTTGAAATCCATTATATAAGAAAAACTGGGTTTCCATACATAAAACTGGACAAGAAAGCTTGTTTACAAAATTCTCTTTGCGTATTATCTTGGAGTGTCTACTAAAAAATGTTCCACAGTGTACCTGAAATAATCAAGTTTGCAGAAAATGTCTTTGTCTTTAATATAACAGCTGGTATGCCTTCCTAAGGAGGTCCTGCAGACACTGCAGGAGAGACACCGAACATGCCAGCACAGGTCATTCACCTGTAATGGAAAAGAAGCAATTTTAATACCGCACTCACAGTATCGTTCATTGGTTTTGTACACTAAGCAATTTTAAAAACTGGCTCCTTAATATTTTAACATATGCGCTGAATGTTTCTATCTAAAAGGTGTAATTTACACAAATATGTGTCTAGATATATTCCCTTTCAGACCTCAACCAGGAAAATCACAATAGCATATTTTACACTGTGTGTTAAATTGTTTATTCCTTTGAAGAATTCAGGGTGTGTGCTTTTTTTTTCTTTTTGAAATCGAACTTCTATGAATACGGAAAATTTTGGTCACTTTAAAGTCCTACATACAGGCTTGTTTTATTTTTTCTTTCACCAAATTCTTCCCACCAGGAAACCTGGTAGCTAAAGAAGTCAAGCCACATACCTTCTCAATCTATTTTTTGACCAAACAATTATAAATGTTACACTAGTTGAAGTGACAGAGAAAGAAAGTGAAAAAGCAGCTTTGTAAAATACTTACCCTTATAAAGAAGCCAGGCAATCCATTTCCCTTACCAAACAGAAATAGCTAAGGTAGATTTAAATGTTGATATGGCTACCTTCTAACATTAAATAATAAAATCAAGGAGTAAATTATTGGAACCCTAACTAATGATTTGGCTATTGGAGAAAAAAATTGATCTGATTATAAGTGGTTCTAAAAAGGCACCCAAGCACTGTTTGCCATTTATATTCCAAGTAATAAGGCATAAAACAGTGTCTAATAAATCACAACACTTTATATTTTCTAAATAGGAACATGAAATATTGTCAATTCAGGGAACAAATCATAACAACCCTCACCTTAAACTGTTGCCATAATACTATAATCACCACAACTTCAGCCTTCAAGAATGAAGATGTGTATTGGATTGAACTTGCTTATAACACAGGCTCCCAACGTTTGCTCTTGTTAAATGGATACAAGAATTGAGTTTATGTTTAACCAATTAAGCATAATTTCATTTCATATAAGAGAACAGCAATGATGCAAAAACACCAGTTACACCCTACAAATGGATCTAATGTCTAAAATAGTAATTAGGAAGTTGTGAAAAGGGTAAATTGTGAAATAGCCTTTATTATGAAATAGTGTAGCAAAAGTCCTATCTGTCCAATGATTCAGATTAGCACTACTGTTCAAAAATGTTTTTTCAAAATGTTTGTGATACAAAATATGAAAGATACTTTGAAGCTGAAGGAAAAAGTTTCACTTGCTTCTAATTGCAGTTATAGGCCTCTTTCCAAAGCATTAATGAAGAGTATCATTTTGGTGAAATTTTTTAAATTTTAAGTTTTGCTTACTACATAGGAAAACTTGGAAGAAACAAACAAAGGAAATCAGAATAAAAAATATTAACAATGGTTAATACTATCCTAGAAATAAATATGTATTTTCCTTCTATTTTTTTCCTAACATGGGACAATTAAAGTTTAAAAATACAGGCTTCCTTTAGCATTCCAATGCATAGGAACTTCTACATTTTGATCTTATCCAGGCTCTTCTTTTTCCTCTCTCCAAGCAAGTATAGATTCAGGCTTCAGAGCAGAGTCATGGCTATCTTCTACCTCCCTAAAACCAAACCTAATGCCTGGTTTGTCACCCTTTTTTAAAGTTTACTTTAAAAAGAAAAGAATGTTCATCTTCCATTTCTTTTCCAGGGAGGAAAGTAAGGTAAAGAGAGAAAATTCTAGAGAATATAGACCTTTCCTGATGGCTGTTATTGATCCAATTTGTATATGTATATGGGACCAAGCCAGAAAAACCATCCAAACAGGGCACTGAAATATTAGATGAGGTAAAAGACACATCTAATTCCTCTCCTACTTTTTTAACTCAATTTTACTTGTCTCATGAGATGATGTTTTTCTATATTAAATGGTTTCTATATTTTCTATATTAAACAGTTGTACCCTCAAATACTCTACTAGGTCTAACAATTATTTTTCACCAGTGACTCAAATTGAATTTAAACTTCTCTTTTAGAATAATTACTCAAAAAAAAAAAAACTCAGTTTTTATATAATCATATAATGTCAAACTTTAGAGCTAATATACTAATACACTAATATGTACAAAAATGGACAGAATAAGACTGTACATAGAAGACTTCACTGGCAGGACAACAGTCCTACAACAAATAGCTTTATGTAAGTTATTTAGATAACTTAGGTATTTTATGTAAGTAAATATAATATACAAATGTATTTTTAACATATAAAAGTGAATACTAGAAACAATATTTACTTCAGACGTGTGTTGTCATTTTATAATGCTTTTTTTTCTAAATCCTCTCTGGTATGAAGTATTAAAGCCTTTATAGACCCATTTAGAAACATTCTTAAAGATTATGTTAATTATTGAGAGAGCTCACTGAAAATAACAAACTAGTTTTGATCCAAAAGATGATTTTGAGATATCCAAAAAAGCTCAGGTCTAAAAACAGGGTATCTTAAAAATGTAGATTTAAAGAGAGAGCCATGTTAATTGGCCAGCTTTAAGACTCAATCCCCAATTAAAATTAATTTAGTTACTTTTCAATTTTTCACCAAAACTTCTTTTGGCGCTTTATCTGGGTTGTATCTATAAGGTGTTATTCCCACTTTACAGATTAAACAGCTTTATACATTGAGGTAGAAATTTAAATTTAAAAAAGCCCAATAACGTGCCTTTTGAACTCATGCTCTCCATAATTAATCCTTCTGAAAAAATGGGGGGAGGGGGTGGGGGGAGATTGATGAGGAGGGAATAGAAAGTGTACTGGTTTGCTACTAATTCAGTGTAGGAGAGATCATTATTTTAAATAGTTGTTTTAAAGAGCTGTTGAAGTTGAAAACCCACGGTATTAGGATTAAGACACATGGGACCATGACCCTGCACTCAGTGACATGGTTAACTGTGGCCTGCCAGAATTTCTACTCCAAAATTCCCGCACAGTATTTTGAGAGAAGTGAAACAGATTAACAGTCAATTCTCAAACTAGCACTTCATCCCAGGCATCCATCTATCTTTCTTCTTTCTTTTTGCTTCCCTTCCTGCCTTCTTTCTCTCCTGCCTTCCTTTTTTTGGGGGGTGGGGGGATGGGGGGTCTAACTTTATATGGATTTCCATTTTTTCACAAGCACTGGAGAGGACATTAAATAAGCATTGGGTGGCCTTCAAATATTAGTAAGAGGGAGGAGGTACTGAAAATGGTTTTTATGTACATGGTCCTATAAACTTTTACTTTGGAAAAGCCTCAAGTGACTGTTACTAAACATAAAACTATGTAAAAATCCTGTCCAGAAAGACCCTTTAAGGCACTTTACAGTGGTCCTTACCAACGGAGACACCGCAAAGGGGAATCAGCCAACATATACTGACCAGGAACTCTTAGAAGCAGGCAGGTGTAGGGGTGTTATTGGGGGTGGAGGGACCATTACCCAGGCTCGGTAAAAATAATCACGCAGGACCCTGTTCCAAAATGAGTAAAAGGATTAACCCACTTTTGCTTCTCTACAAGTCGGTGGCTGACTCTAGTACAACCACCCCCGGGGTATCGGCTCTTCTAGACCACGACGTGTCATATACACAAGCTGTTTTGCAATAACGTGGGAGATTCTACGATTTCTTCTCCCACTCTTTCGATTTGCCCTGGACTGGGCTGTTTTGCTGAGAAAGCCTACAACCTGCACGAGAACTCGAAAGGAAAAGAGGGGGAAAAAAACTTTTCTCTTTTCCCAAAGTTCCCTGGTAACCCCGCTCCCCTTGGGCCTCGCGGCTCCACCCTACCTTGAGAAGGTACTTGTCCACGATCTCCAGGCCGCAGCTGTTGCACACACACTTGCCAGGGGGGCAGACAGAGCCCGAGGCCATGGACCGGGGCGAGGACGACGGGGACAGCGGGGCCGAGGAGGAGCACGAGTCCTCGTCCCCCGCTCCCTCGGGGCTCACCTGAAGGAAGCCGTGAGGCGCAGTCGCAGGCGGTTCTAGACCCCTCCTCCTCTCCTCAACCCACGGAACCACCGGGACTCCCCCACCCCCTTCCCCTCCTTTCCCCCGGGCCACCCCCAGTTCGTGAGGTCTTGCTTCCCGCTCTCTCCCCCGGGTCCAAGCTCCCGCCACGCACCCGCTGGGGCTGTCGACCCGTGACCTCAAGGACCCAGGGAGCCTTACAGCTCGGCCCAGCCCATCCCGCCGGCTCAGCTTTCCACCACGCCCTGCCCCAGGCCCTCCTTCCACCCGCTCCCCGAGGGGCCAGCTGGGCCCAGGAAGGAGCGCGGGGACAGCGGCCCTTCGTCCTGGGCCGCCTCCACACGTCCAGTCTTGCCAACTGCCGTGTCCCTCCCCACTCACCAGTCCCTCTTCCCCGGCGCCTTTCCGAGTCCTCGCGGCCGCCAGGGCTGCAATCCGCCCGCACTCCTCCGACATGAGCCCCTGGCACTGCGGGGTGGGAGGAGGGGAAAATGGGGAAAAAACGGAGAGCAGAAGTTCAGAGCCGGCACGCTCAGCCCTGAGCCTCGGCTTCTGGCACGCGGAGCGGGCTAATGAAGGCCCCCAGCGCGCCAGGCCGCGCGTGCAGCCGTCAGGGCTCCAGGGCCCCGGCGCCGCGGGCAAGCGGGCGGGAGCGCAGCCTCCCTTGTCAGCCGCCGGCCACGGCGGCGCAGCCCGAGCGCGTGGCAAGGCGGCCACCGCAGCGCTGAGGGCTCGCCCGGCGCGCTGCGGAGCTCTCGGGGCCGCAGGTCCCTAGCGCTCACCGGAGCAAGTCGGTTCCCCGCCCCCCTGCCGGGGGTAACAAGTTAATAACAATCATCCCAGCACAAAGCATTTTCTTTCTAGACGTCAATCACGACGGAGCCGGGATCACCAGGCTAAAGCGGGTGCAAGGGGCGGGGGCGGGGGGGCGAGTGGGAGAGAAGAAAAGAGGATTGAGGAGGGGGTGAGGGAAGAAACTTGATTTCTTTAATAACCTCAATTAAAAGAGCAAGACACATATATTTTTAAAAGGGAGCTTTTTGAATTGGATAGCCCAAAAGGTGAAGAGGTTTAATAGGATACTTGAAAGCTAATTACAGCGGGATTTAAGAAGCCTGGTGTTTGTTCCGATGACAATTTGAATGAAAATGCTTCAGATTAAACCAAGCCAGCAGCTCTTTCGTAAACTTACAGCAATTAGAGCTGCGAGTGATTTACACTCGTTTCTTTAAGGTATAAATTGCCACTTATAGCTCAGTAAGTCAACATTTGAGCTACTAAAGGATTATTTTTAACCAGCGCAAAAAGCGGGACGAATAATGGAAAATATCCAGCTGAATTTAATTTGTGCCATTAAAACTCACCCAACCTCGGTCAAAATGTTTTAAAGCAACAGCGCGCATTACTCAAGTGTTTCCAAGCCTTTGCTGTAGTTTTGTTCTTAAACGAAAACGCAGCCTCTCTAGGCTTTTTCTGCCCTCGTTTACAAAAACTCCAGTTTGAGGGCAGGGGTGCGGAACTCGAGCGGCCCACACCTGCGTTTCTGACTCTTCACCTCCCTACTTCCGGCTGCGCCAGGCGAGACACCGTCCGAACCCGGGAGACCCCCTCCCTGCCCGGCCCTCAGCGGGGACCCTCGGGTGCGCTCCCTAGGCTGGCCCCAGCGCCGCCGCTCGGAGGCCTCATCCTCTCAGACACAAAGAGAGTTTAAGCAGAAAAGTACGGCTTTCGCTGGGTATTCCCCGCCAACGTCCGACAAAGTCAGCGGTACCCAAAGCGGGTCCCTCTGAGGCGCTCAAACAGGCTGCAGATGATTTTCAAACTTAAAACGCGAGACACCAACGGGTCCTGCCTCCGGAGTGAGGTGAGCGCTTGTCAGTTTTCCCCATCTACTGGACGAAAGGTGTGACTCGTTTGCCCTGGGTTTTGCCCTGTTCTTATTTTTGGTATTTTAAGTGAAATGGCCCTCCTGGCCCGCCCTGGGATCCCCCGAGGCCTTCCAGGAGCCATGACTCCCTCTGTCTCACCGTGGGCCCGCGGCGCCGCGAGTCGTCCAGCGGCCAGAGGCGCGCCCGCGAGCGGCTGGACGCAAGGAGCCGAGCCTCTGGTCCCACCCCGACAGCCGCCCCGACCTCCCGACTCGCTCTTCCCCACGCCACGATCACCACACGGCAAATAGAACAAAAGCACGACTCACATGTACCCGAGAACGCCTTAGGCTCGAGGCTTCGTCTCCCAAATTACAGTCTCCATGCCTCAGGTTAAGTGAGCTTGTGGGGAGGGGAGGCAATGATTACTGACTAACGCTACTACGTAATAAGAAAAAAAAAAATTGCCAGGTCTGAAGATGAGGCCGTTACAGGTAATTTCTGAACCTTGTTTAGGAGCCCGAACAGCTCGCGTTTCAAGGAAAGTGCAATTCAGCTCGTCTGGCCAGGCGTCGGCTCGCTCACCTTCTCAGGGGGAACTGCCAGCTCCGGCACGTCCTTTTCTTCTAGTTTACACACAAACATCTGATCGCTTTTCCAATACATGGCACTGCTAGGGCTGCTTATCGCATACCAACTCCAGAGGGTCAGCGGCCGTCCGGGTCTGCCGATCTTCCCCCCTCCCCTGCGCCAAAGCACTAAGAAAAGCTGACACCGAGAAGAGGAAGAATGCTACAAGCAAGTCTTCGTCCAAAGAGGCCGCTGTGGCCGTTACCACTCTGGCGGACTGTTCTTAAGATTCTTATCCCAACTTCACTGAGGTCTGTCCCTCCAGGAAAAGGAAAAAAAAGTTTTGTTTTCCAGAGGGTGGAACCTTACATAAAGGGAGGGAAGGGGGTGTGTGTGCAGGGGGAGTCTTCTCCTGGAGGAATAGCCTCACCTCCTTAAGGAAAACCCGCCTTCTGTACATGTTAAGATCTTTATCAGAGCAAGCCAACTTACTCCAGATTTAGTATTAAAGAGGGGGGAAAAAAACAACACTGGGAATGGCCTGTTAACTTTTGACTTAAAAAAAAAAAAAATCTGCTCTCTGCATTTGCCGTGGCTTTTTAATTCTCGCTCCCCAACCAAAACCTAAACAAAGATTCAGGTTACATCTCTTTCTGCAGCAAGCAGAAGGGGAAGCGGAGGTCTGAGTGACTTAAACTTTTTAGTCATTCTCCTGAAACACGTAGCTCTCCTGTCTAGCCAAGGAACTCGACCGCTCCCTGGCAGCCTGGGGGCTGACTTATCTAGCGGTTCCCGCTCCCTTTGCGAAAAGTTTTCTCATTAAGATAAAGAAGGAACATCTGAGCAGCACAAAAGCTTATGATTTGCGACTAGATTTGAAATCAAGGCTACAAGAAAGAAAAAAGTATGTTGCTAATAGTATTGCTCTTTCATCTCGTCCTAGACAAAATTTAAGCCCTAGAAGGGGCCAGTTCCTGCCTCAAATGTTGGCTGTGGGTTTGTGGAGGGAGGGGGGTGGTGTTCTCAGAATACCGTAATTTTGATGAGGATTGGAGGGTATGTTTGTTTAAATAGCTTCTTTATGGTGCAAATTTTACTTCATTATTTAGTGTGTAAAGGGGAATTTAGTAAGAGACTAACAATATTTTTATTTCCAATTTTCCCTTTTTTAAGAAACGAAACAAAGCAAAAAATTTAAGAATACCTGGGAGTCTGTTTCCTAAAGGCCTTTAGTAAAATCATGTGATATTCCAATTAAACGGATATATGTATCTACATATCTATCTATATATAATCTTCTATATTCGTATCTCCTTGCCTTGTTTGTCTAGAAGAGTAAGATCGAAGGGCTCTCGCCCAGACAAGTCAACAGCAGACTAGAGGAGGGGCAATGGGCAGAGATAGGTAGCCTTCCTGTAATGAAGTGAGCCTGTATAACAGTCTGGGACTGAGCAACGACTGCAAATTTAGTTTTTCCTCAAGTACATTTTTCTCCCATAAACACGAGGGTCCCCAGAGCATTTTCCTAATGCCATTGTTTTCCTTTTCGCGCAGCTGCGCACAGGTTAATATTAGCCATCCCCCTTCTGGTCCTTTCTGGGAGATCTCGCTTAAATTTATGAAGTGGGGGGTAGAGGACGCTGGGATCTGTGCCCTCTTACAGAACTGAAGGCTTGGGGCGGACCTAATTCTCCTAAAAAAGCTAACCTGTGCGTGGAGAACAGAAAGTCTTGTGGTTTTCATCAAGTGCAAAAATTAGTATTGGGGGGAAAATCCACATAATGCATTTTCCATGAAATAGCATCGGTCTCAAGATGTGTTTTCCGAATGGAAAGAGAGTCGTCAGAACATTGGCTCTATCGGGGTGTTCATAGACAGCAGGATTGAAAGTGGAATTAAAAAAAAATAAATAAAGGTCCAGTTCAGAGATTTAGTTACTATTCATTAGGGTCTGCAAAATGAATCTGGGGGTCCTGCTTGGCTACTCTCCGGGAGAATTAATCGCTCGGGTCGTTTGGAGATCCGGAGAGCGCGGGAGCTGTTTGGGGAAGTAGGGCGGGGGCGCGGGCGTTTATGCGGTCTTTCCACCCACCCTCGCCTAATCAGTCGGCTCGGCTCTCAATCAGGTTTTCAAAATACTAATCTTAATCTAAGAGCCCCTATCTCTGCATCAGTGAAGGAAATGATCATTTTTACTGGCTTCTGGGCATGGGGAGGAAGAATGGTCGTCAGACCTCAGAAGACCTAAAAGACTGGTCTGGCGTTCGCTTTACTGCTGACGCACTGCCGGACGCGGACCTTTTCCCGGGGTGTGATTGTGCGCACACAGCCTTGCTCTGTAGGCCTCCTGGCCGGTGAGTCTGTTTCTGTGTCCTCGGCGTTGTAAGCCTTTGGCTGCGGTCGTGTGCGGAGGTGGGAGGAGGGGGGTGTGCAGGTATTTGCTGTGAATGTTGGGGCTGAGCGTCCTGTTGGTGCTGGGCCCAAGGACCTCCTGACCCTTTGTCAGGGGTGAACACCTGAACGTGGCCCGGCTTCTTGGAGCTCGCGTCACACCTCTTACTCACGCTCCTCCTCCGCTAGGGCAAAGGAAAAATTCGCCCGCTACTTCGCAGAGTTGGGTTCCTGTGCTAAAAATCAGGGCTCTTTTTGTCTTTCTAATAAGAGTTTTTAGCCCAAACTCCAATTGAAACCAATTTTGGTCGAAGGAGGACATACCAAAAAACATCATCTTGTGTTTCTGCAGGTGGGAGAGGAATCACCCGCGTTGGGTCGATTCCTACCTACTAACTTGAAATTTCTAGATGGCCATCTCTCCTTAAATGAAAATCAAGAGACCATAAGCCCACCCAGGGGACTAACCAACACCCCTGGACTGCAAAGGCTCTTTGCAAGGCCCGAGGAAGAAACCCAGAGAGACTTGGGAGGACGCCCTGGCAAGTTGGGAGGCGCTGGGTGTGTCTCCCGAAAGCCGGAGGGGGTCAGGGAAGGGGTCTGGGTCCCCTGGGGCCAGGCCTTGATTGAAGGTCCAGGGATGGAGAGCGGGAACACCAACCCGCTCTGACCCCTTTAGTTTCCACTCACCGCGAAGAGCTGCCTAATTGGGCTGCGAGCAGCTGCGAAATTTGTAATCGCCTAATAAGCCTTCCACCTCGGTAATTCTTATCAAAAGGCATAAAACTGATATTTTCACACTCGGCTTCCTCCACAGGAGCCGTTTATAAACATCCTTCATCAGTAGGATGAAATTAAGACTTCATTGACAAAGGTCTCTGGAACTCGATATTTAAAAGCAATAGATCCGAATTAGCAAATTATTACTTTAAGTAGGGAAAGTCCCCACCAACTTGACTATTGAACCCTTTGCCTCTGAGCTCCTCGCGGTGAGTAACCACATGTTTGAGGGAACTTAACCTGAAGTTTCCGCGTTAATCAAGCAACCTCCGGAATCTCGCTTCCTGAATCCGCGCGCGCCCTGGCTCCCGGCCCTTCCACCAGCCTTCGAGGACCCGCTCGGGTCAGACCTTGTGGGGACCGGGGCGAGGACAGCTGGGGCCTGGGCGAAAACGCGGCTAAACCAGACGCGCCCAAGACTCCCGAGCCTCAGGCGCAGGGCCAGTGCCGGCCATGGCACCTCTACGCTTTCCCCCGTCCAGCGACCCCGCGCTGGGGGCCGGCCCGGAGCCCTGTCGCAGCGTGAGGCAGGGGAGACCTCCGCGCCGGTAAGAAAGCGCTGCTTCTGGCTGATTCTTGTGGCAACTTCTTTACCCATGAAGGTAAAAACTCGCCCTGAAGCTGCGAAAGTCACACTTGGTTCAGGGGTAGGAGTGTGTCCTTTGATTTTTGCCCACCCCGTCTAATCATTATTAATACTAATTTGGAAAGAGACTGAAGGAGATAGCTTCCAGAGACTTTCTCCCACCAACTTGCGCAGCTCAGACCCGCGTCACCCCACAGAGATCGCGCAGCGGGAAACGCGCTCACCTTGGGACTTACCGGTCCCAGGCTCCTTCTCAGTTTCTGAGGGAAAAGAAGGGGCGTGTTTATTCACGGCAGTGGAGGACGCCCAAAGGTGGCAAGGACCTCCGTCTGGGACCTCCTGGTCTCTGCCCAACTGCGGGCCGAGCCTAGGCTCACTAAACTTCCGGGCGAGGCTACCGGGCTCCGCGTGGGACAGCCGGGAACGCACTGGTGCGCAGGGAGCGCCTGGGCTAAGCCGCTGGGCCGGCCGGGCGTCTGTTGCGCTAGCTGGAGTCGTGCGCGCCTGTTGGGGCCAGCGGTCTCCAGCGGTTCTAGAGACCCAACAACCGAAAACCACGTTCTGAGCCCCAGAGGGCTGTGCATGTGGAGTCCGTGTCTCTTTTCAGCGGGTGCGCTTGTCCCCCAAGAACGCGAGTAAACTTGCCCAGTCCTCTGCGGAAGGAGAGAGGGAAAGCGTTTCTCGCCTGATAGGACGGGTAATACGAGTGATAGAATTAGGAGCCCTAGGGAGCCCGAAATTAGTCAAGACGCAGTCTGGGGACGCTCCAGACTAAATGCTACTGCGCAAAGCGCGAAAGTCCACTACATTATTTACCCATTGTGACATTCCAAGCCCACAATCTTCGCCTTAAGCACACTTGTGGTTTACAGCTGCTAATTTTATATGCATTTTATCGTTCAGAATAAGCAAAGCGGCAGGACCAGGGGAAACCTGATTCTAACCTGTTTCTACAGACCTCGGCCCACACAACTCTGTAAAAACCGAACTAGGAGGTGGGGGGGGGGGAGAACAACTCAAAACCCAACAGTTCTCTAACCCCCAATTCCCCCGCCCTGGGTTTTCCTACACATCCTACTAGGCTCACAGGGCGGATCTAGAGTGGAACTCACTAATCTAGAAGGAGGACGGGAACCCTAGCCCCACAGACTTCCCCTCCTCCACCCTCCTCTTCCCCAGGGATCCCCGAGAGGCGCACTAAAACCCGGACAGGGAGGCAAAAAAGGCAAAGTTGATCTGAGTGTAGAAACATGGGCGCCTGAGAGTGTTTGTCGGGTGGAGTGGGGAGGGGTGGTGGTGGTGGGGAGTTGTGTGAGCCTCCTATTCTCAGGCTTCAATCCGGTTTTGATAAGGGAACACACAGCTCTCGTTTTTAGCCGGTGTGAGTGTGTCCCATGCAAACTCGGGTCTCCCAGCCCACAATCTCGGCAACAACATCTTCCCGGCAACACTAACACATCCCGTCGTTTCTTTACCCATCGATGTATCCTGTAAAATGATGCTTTAAAAAAAAAGGAGGGGGGGGAAATCTTCGGAATAATCTTGAAACATGATATTTTTTAAAAAGTTAAAAAAACTTTTTATATGGTTTCTGCTTCAGGAGACTGGTTCTTGTAACTTTGGCAATGTTTTCCTCCTTTCCTTCCTCTCCTTCCCCTCTCCCTCCCTCCTTTCCTTCTTACCTACAAGCCTGACTGCCTGTCTGCCTTCATGGGAACTCAAGGTTTAAGAAGCTAGGCATCTTGTTATGAGTACGAGTATGAGATTTTGAAATTAGTTAAACCTGTAATGGATTTCAGAGCAATTTAACAACTTAACACCTCGGTTTTCTCATCCAGAAAATGGAGATGACAGCACTGATGATGTTGAAATGTGTTCACCGATGCGCAGTAGATTCTCAATCGTAGGCTCTGCCTGCGCCCTTCTGTGCTGCGCTGAGAGGTCTAGATGCAGAGGTGTCAACAAAGCTCTCATTCCCCAGGTGAAGGAGACAGACCAGTGCTCTTCCT